ACACAAATGAATTAAAAAAGCCTGTTAAAGAAAGATAGTGTACCAAAAAAATTAACAAATGGTTAAATTTGAGGGATGAGGTTTTTTTGGAAATTTTTTAGTGCAGAGAGTTTGTACCTTTTTTTTTTTTTTTTTTTTTGGGACAGAGTCTTGCTCTGTCCACCCAGCCTGAGTGCAGTGGTGTGATTTCGGCTCACCACAGCCGTCCAACCGTTACGGGTTCGGCAATTCTCCTGCCTCAGCCATCCCGGACGTAGCTGGGATTACAGGCACCCACCATCACCTGGCTAATTTTGTATTTTCTGGTAGAGACGGGGGTTTTGCCATGTTGACCCAGGCCTGGTCGTCCAAAGCAAACTCCTGACCTCGTGATCCACCTGCCTCAGCCTCCCAAAGAGCTGGGATTACAGGTGTAAGCCATCACACCCGGCCTCTTTTTATTTTTTTTATTTTTTTGAGACAGGTTCTTGTTCTGTCGCTTAGGCTGAAGTGCAGTGGCAATCTTGGCTCACTGCAGTCTCGACTTCCCCAGCTGAAGCAACCCCCTACCTCAGCCTCCTGAGCAGCTGGAACTACAGGCCTGAGCCACAATGCTTGGCTATTTTTTTCTTTATTTTTGGTAGTTTTTGTAGAGACAGGGTTTTGTTGTTGCCTAGGCTGGTCTTGAACTCCTGGGCTAAAGTGATCTGCCCACCTCAGCCTCCCAAAGTGCTGGAATTACAGGCATGAGTCACCACGCTCAGCTAGAAATGGCTTGCTTTTAAGAATGCTACCAATTCCACTGTAAAAGGACAGATTTCCATCTTTTTTTTTTTGCTCTTGTTGCCCAGGCTGGAGTGCAATGGTGCGATCTCAGCTCACTGCAACCTCTGCCTCCCGGGTTCAAATGATTCTCCTGCCTCAGCCTCCCCAGTAGCTGGGATTACAGCCATGCGCCAAGACGCCCAGCTAATTTTTGTATTTTTAGTACAGATGGAGTTTCTCCATGTTGGTCAGGCTGGTCTCCAACTCCCGACCTCAGGTGATCCGCCCGCCTCAGCCTCCCAAAGTGCTGGGATTACAGGCGTGAGCCACCGCTCCCAGCCAGATTTCCCCTGTTTACAGTGGAAGTGTGGAATGCATTTCCTTTAGCTATATAGTTCTTATTTAGAATATTTGTTGGATATTGACTAAAGAACAGATATCAAAACATGGAATGACCTACAAGAGAGACAAGAGAGTTTCCGGCCGGGCGCGGTGGCTCAAGCCTGTAATCCCAGCACTTTGGGAGGCCAAGGCAGGCGGATCACGAGGTCAGGAGATCGAGACCATCCTGGCTAACACGGTGAAACCCCCGCCTCTACTAAAAAATACAAAAAACTAGCCGGGCAAGGTGGCGGGCGCCTGTAGTCCCAGCTACTCGGGAGGCTGAGGCAGGAGAATGGCGTAAACCCGGGAGGCGGAGCTTGCAGTGAGCTGAGATCCGGCCACTTCACTCCAGCCTGGGCGACAGAGCGAGACTCCGTCTCAAAAAAAAAAAAAAAAAAAAAGAGACTTTCCTTACTAAAGATGTTTACATAGAAGCTGGGCAACAATTTACTAAATAGGGTTTGTAAGAAGGATGCATGGCTCTAGTAGAGGATTCCCTGTGATCAGCATGATTTAGCATTGTGTCTCGCATATAGTAGGTGCTCAATAAATATTTGTTGAATGAATGAATACATTATTTCTATGGGCCTTTCCAAACTTGAGACCTTGTGATCCATAAAGCCTCCCCTCACCATTCCAGTTCTCCTTGCTTTCTTCCTTCTCTAGATTGCAGAAACAATTATGAAACACTAATATTATGAACCACTAATTTAATGGCTCTTAATTACATACTGTATTGTCTTTTATTGTTCCCTAGTTATGTTAGTTTTTATTTTTTTTTTATGTTAGGAATTTAAATTCTGCCTCCCCAAAAAGAGTGCTAGTTGCCAAAAATCAATTCTATTTAACTAACGTTTATTGGGCACTATATATTAACTACTAGCACCTGTCCTACAAAACCTTCTATTCTAAAAGGCATAGAGTCATTAAAGAGAGAGAGTGCACTAAGTGTCCCAATAAAGGTATACACAAAACGCTATCGTCAGACGGGGGAACAATTCATTTTGCAAGAAAGGCAGCCCAGGAAAACTACAGGTAGCATTTCAGCTAGTCTTCATAGATAACAGGAGTTTGTCAGGCTCTTGGGATAATATTAATAGATTGGGAGGAAGTTGATGCTATAGCAAAGAGAGGTACAAGTGGCTGTCTCGTTTTCTGCTTTAATGTCTCTCCCCGTGGGCGATAGAAAACTACCATTCTCTAGTATACAATCAATACAGAAATGGGAGCCCAGGGGAGAAAGGGTAGGGAGCCAGAAGGGGGCTGATCCAACAACCTGACGGAAAGCGTTATCTATTTCGCAGCCTGGCCGGGATGAACAAGTTCGGCAAGTGTGGGACCGAACCAGGTCAGAGCCACCAGGTCGGAGCCTTACCTGCTGTCCCTCCCCCACGCGGAGCCCACGCCGCGGCCAACTTGAAATGTACTGGGCTTCCTCAAGTCGGTGGCGTTCTAGGCCCGCCTCCCGGAGCTCCCTATTGGTGAGTTTTCTCGGCCAATGCAGGAGAAGCTGAGGAGGGAAGTCCGCCCTCTCGAAGCCTAGGAAGAGAAGGAGGGAGGGAGCGAGTAAGCCCGGAACCGAAGCTTGCGAAGCGGGTCGCAGAGAGAGATGGGGGTTGCAGAATCATCTAGGGTCACTTATTTCCGGTCTCACTCCAGATGGAAGGAGCCACTGGCCGGCAAGAGTTCACCAAGGGAACGTGACACTCGTATCTCATCGAGGGACCGTGTTGAGGGAGCCCCTACAGAAAGGCCAAAAGAGGAGAGGGCCTACGGAGAAATGAACCCCTGTGAAAGCTGCTCTTTAGGGATCAGTCTCTTTGTGACTCTAGTTTCACAGCTTGGTCTCTCCATTACTCCAGCCTTCCTTTCAATCATACACTGCCTCTCTCCAGCACCACCAATGGATACTTCTTTTCTAAAAATGTTTTTCTGTGGGTTGCTGCCGTGTCTGTGAGAAGGTGGGCAGAGGGTTTGAGAAAGGAAGGATCTGGGATCAGAGTACCAGAGTTGGGGAGACAGGGCAGAAGCCCAGCTTTTTCTGCATTTTCCACTACTTTCCACTTCCTGCGCGCTCCTTGGGAAGGCGAGCAGCGTGGAAGGAGGAGCCCTATTTTCGCAGAAAACAGAAACAAGGGAGAAAGGGTTCAGAATGGAGATGAAGTCTAGGAGTTAGTCAAGAAGAATATCCCAGATGTAAGAGAAAATGACCTGTAAACTGGGAGGCTGTAGGTGTAGCGGCAAGCGCCCAGTCTTTGCCATAGAACAGAAATATAGCTGTGAAACTTTGGAGAACTTGCTTAAACTCATGAAGTCTGTTTTCTCATCTGTAACAAGAAGATGATAGTTCCTATCTTACAGAGTTGTGAGGATTGAAAATAGTGTATGTAAAGCACATGGCACATAGTTGACACGTGTCCAAGAAATAACTAGTAAAAATGGGTAGCTTCCCGCAATCTTTCTCTCTCTCCCATACCTGGGAACATTATTTTCAGTGTCTTGCATCTGGGGGGCCTCCAGCCTCCAAATTAGCTCAGGACCCTGAGTGAACTTTTTAAAACCTTGGGATTTTTCTTCTTCTCCCACTTTCCTTGGTGCCTTCCAGCTGGACACAAACTCATTCCTAAAATATGTGGATGGAAGCTATGGTAACCATGGAGACAGGGCAGGTGGCAAGGAGAGGCAGAGACAGTGTGAGAGACCAATAGACAGATAGGAAGAGAGAAGCTATAAGGAGCATTTCAGACAGAGATCTTCAAGCAAGATGGAAAAAATAAGACGACTAAGCAAGACTGAGATTAAAGAGGTGCAATGTGACAGAGTGTATTACCAGGTTCGCTCTTCTTCCTGCCCCTTTCCTATCTCCCTGCCCACAATAATACGGGGTGGAGGCACCTGGGAATGTCCCTTGCCCTGTCTAAAAGTGCCCCCATATCCACCTTCCTCATATTTATCTAGGTCTATATAAGGGAGCTGAGGTCCAAGTTTCTCTGCGATGGGTGTTCCGTTTTTGAGAGATGGGGCGGGGGTGTATCTGTGTCTGACTCCAGGCTAGACCGTGTCTCCTTCACAATTAAACTACAGGAAGAAAGCCACATCTCTTGCTTCTCTTTGCACAGTATGGACACCGGCTGTGGATCCAAAAAGCCTGTCTACACCTTTCTTGCACAGTGTGCCATGTGCCGTGCGTGGTAGGTCAGGTCTGGCGCACAGGAGCGCATAAACACACCAAGTGCAGAGAATGGGGATCTGCTGAAGCTCAGCGAAGAATCTGGATGATGATGGTCCCTGTCTGGGTCGCGGAGGAGTCCCCTAAGGAACACTTAGGTTTGTTGGGGCTGAGGGGAGGTCGGCTAAGATAAGGAAGTCAGGATTGGAGCCTCTAGGTTTTTGAGGGTTTATGTGTGCATGAGTGGGGGAGCAGTTTGGTGCCCGACGCCCCCACCCGCAGAGACTAGGCTATAAATAGCACAGCAGAGCGCCCCCCCCCCCCCCCCCAGCTTCTCTCCTCCCGAGCCGGCGCTGTGCCCGGGGCGCTCCGGGAGGAGGGACGACGATCCGGCGCTGGGGCGCAGATACTGACACCAAGGGAATCCGGGTGCCCCCCCTCCACACCATGCGGGCCCCCAGGAACCTGGCTCCGCCACCTCGGCTGCCCCGTGGCCACGGCCCCAATCTTGGCCAGGAGGAGATTCTGCGGACATTCAGGTATCTATCTGGGCGCACAGCCTGGGAGGGGAAAGAGCAAGGAGTGATGGGGAACATCGCAGGGGCAAAAGAACCCCCCAATTCTCCCTCCACCCGTTTTAGGTCTCAAATGCAGGCTGCTTCCCTCCCCCCACTAAATTTTTGGGGTTGTGGCAAGCTAAAAGAGGTTAGGAATGAGAATACATGTGTGACTGTAGGGTGCATGTATGTGGGTGGGTGGCGTTCAGCATCCTAGAAAGGGGGATCCCAAGTGTGGATAAGAAAAGGGGGATAGAGGAAAGGTCTGATAAGCCATGGGGTGAGGGTGGGGGTGCGGACATGCCTGCGCGTGCACGAACGCATTTGCACGCGCGCTAGTCCTTCAGTGCGGGTGCACCCTTCCCACCTCCTCAGGCATGCGCTGCGGGGGAAGGGCCGGCTCAAAGGCATGAGTTAGAGGAAGGACTGTATGCCGTGAAGATCTCCCCCACCCCACGCTGGGTTCCTGCATCGGTGCCTCAGTTTCCCTGCCGAATCTATCAATAAGATGTCTCTCTTGCAGGGATCGGCTTCGTCACTGAGACCTCAGGCCTCTGCCAGCCACCCCCCACCCCCTACCCCCTACCCCTAGCCGTCCTCGGCAGGTCTCAGTCCCGGCTCCATCTGTGCCCTCACCCCAGCCGCAGCTATGTTGCACACCGAGGGCCACGCTCTTCTTCGGGCAGTGGGTCAGGGTAAGCTACGCTTGGCGCGTTTGCTTCTGGAGGGAGGCGCCTACGTGAATGAGGGTGATGCGCAGGGGGAGACTGCGCTAATGGCAGCCTGTCGGGCTCGCTACGACGACCCCCAGAACAAGGCACGCATGGTACGCTACCTCCTGGAGCAAGGCGCGGACCCCAACATCGCAGACCGCTTAGGGCGCACGGCGCTCATGCACGCTTGCGCCGGGGGTGGGGGCGCCGCGGTGGCCTCGCTGCTCCTTGCCCACGGCGCAGACCCCTCAGTCCGAGATCACGCGGGCGCCTCGGCTCTTGTCCACGCTCTGGACCGCGGGGACCGCGAGACCCTTGCCACACTGCTGGACGCCTGCAAGGCCAAGGGCACGGAGGTCATCATCATCACCACCGATACCTCGCCCTCGGGCACCAAGAAGACCCGGCAGTATCTCAATTCTCCACCATCCCCAGGGGTGGAGGACCCTGCTCCCGCTCCTCCTAGCCCGGGGATCTGCACGTCGCCTTCGGAAATCCAACTGCAGACCGCAGGAGGAGGAGGGCGTGGGATGTTATCCCCTCGCGCCCAGGAAGAAGAGGAGAAGCGGGACGTATTTGAATTTCCTCTTCCTAAGCCCCCCGATGACCCATCCCCTTCCGAGCCGCTCCCCAAACCACCACGCCACCCCCCCAAACCACTCAAAAGGCTCAACTCCGAGCCCTGGGGCCTAGTGGCCCCTCCTCAACCAGTCCCACCCACCGAAGGAAGACCGGGGATCGAGCGCTTGACTGCCGAATTCAATGGCCTGACCCTGACCGGTCGACCCCGTCTTTCCCGACGTCACAGCACCGAAGGCCCTGAGGACCCGCCCCCATGGGCGGAGAAAGTGACTAGCGGGGGTCCTCTCTCTCGCCGAAACACAGCACCAGAAGCTCAGGAGTCTGGTCCCCCTTCAGGGCTGAGGCAGAAACTGAGCCGCATGGAGCCAGTGGAGCTCGACACCCCCGGACACCTTTGCCCTGACTCGCCTGAGTCCAGCCGCCTGTCCCTGGAGCGCCGCCGATACAGCGCCTCCCCGTTGACCCTCCCTCCAGCCGGCTCCGCTCCCTCTCCGCGCCAGTCCCAGGAGAGTCTGCCAGGGGCAGTATCTCCGCTAAGCGGACGAAGGCGGAGTCCGGGGCTGCTGGAGCGGAGGGGCTCGGGGACGTTGCTCCTGGACCACATCTCGCAAACGCGGCCGGGTTTCCTGCCCCCTCTCAACGTCAGTCCCCACCCTCCCATCCCTGACATTCGCCCTCAACCCGGAGGTCGGGCACCTTCGTTGCCTGCCCCTCCTTATGCCGGGGCGCCAGGCTCCCCCAGGACCAAGCGCAAATTGGTGAGACGCCACTCCATGCAGACTGAGCAGATCCGCTTGTTAGGGGGCTTCCAGAGTCTAGGTGGGCCTGGGGAGCCAGGGCGCTGAGAGAAGTGAGAGGAGCCAAGGAGGGTGGGGATTAGGACCCTAATGGGATAGGTGGGAGAACCAGCTCACACACACACCACGAACATAGGGATCTCTTGCATGTGCTCATGGGTGCACAGTGCACCCACACATGGTTAAACATGTGTCCATAAGCACAGTACTCTTATTAACAAGAAAGAATAAGTACTCTATTTACTGGGTATATAGACACATGTATTCATGCCCTGGTCATTTCACGTGCATATGGGATTACTTGTGTACCTGCGGGCACAGCACATCAATAAACAGGGCTAGGGTCCCAAACTCTCTTGCATTTGTTCAGAAGCAGAAGCAGTAGGGAACCCTTACTTATGGGCAGTCTCCCATGTCTTTGCCCTCCTGCAGAAGCAATCCCTTGCTTTCCATGTATGCCCTGCAACACAGCCTATCATGATTTTGCATACTCTACTCTCTCCATGAACATCCCAGCCCATTCTCCAGGTCTTGCTTCTTTCTCCAGGCCTGGCTCCTTATTCACACCCCGCTTCCAACCCCAACCACTTTTCAGGATATCTTTTTCACTCTTCTTGGGGGTTCCTGCAGCAACCCCCAGCCTATGTTCTGCTGCTGTCTTTACTGCTCTCAACTTCACTTCTCAACTTCCTGCTTTTTATTCCCACCCTGTTCCTCCAACAACTACAACAGATTGTCTCATTTTCCCAGGGGGTGGGTCATGGGCTCTAAACTGCTCTTCTGTCTGTCTGAGCTTATGAACACCCCCACGGGTAGAAGTGGGGAGAAACCCTAAATCACTCCTCTCTCCACTTGACATATCAAATAAATGTGTTCAGAAGTCTCTGTTTTGTCACTTCTGCCTGGAGGTGTGGGTATGGGGAATGAGGAATGGGGAGGGAGGGTAATACTAACTTATAGCTATAATTATCCAAGGGATACTTAGCCGTTCCAGCCACCTTCTTTCCAAGAAACCAACTTTTCTATAGAGAAAAGGCAAGTGTCCTGTGTCCTAAAGGTTTTAAGGCATTCGACAGGATTTCATTTCCTCCAGTTTCCTCTATGTCCAACCTTGAATAAAGATTCCTACAAAGAGTTCCTCCCTCCATCATCAGCAGATATATCCCAGTAGATTAACTGTCTCTTTTTCAAACTTCCTATTTCTTGACCACTCACAGTTTTTAGTCAGGGTCTAATTTTCATTTCACCAAGTGTGTTTCTTCTATTTTCTTCTACTTCTGGCCTCTATTTCCCCATCTTTGATTTCTGAGCCACTGTAGGAGAGATGGCGGGAAGCAGTTAATATAATCTCACCTAAGTAAAAATGGCCCAGTGACCACATGATAAAGGGTATGTAGAGTGTGTGTGTGTGCGCATGTGTGCAAGTGTGTGTGTGTGTGTGCAAAGTAATCAGAGGAACCAAGTCTGACATGTTATACCAACAAGAGTAATTTTCTTAATTCCCCCAACTGGACTTCTCAGTTTTCTAATTTTCTGCATGTATCCTAACTCTTTCTCACTCTAATGGAAGGCAAAAAGACTTGCCCATCCCACTCTCTCTTATTCCCTTCCCCTACTTAGAATAAGTGAAATCAGAAATTTACCCAACAATGTGGCATAGTAAAAAGATAAAAAATATTGGGAATCAGAACACCTATGCTTAAACTCTGAATTCCACTTTGCCATCTCTTAGCTATTTAATTTTGGGCAATTTATCTAGCCTCCCTCAGCATCTGTTTCCTTATCCCTAAAATAATAAAATCTAGTGATTGTGATTGTAAAGAAGACATGCATTACAGTACATTGCATAGTTTATGTTCATTAAATGTCAGTATCTTTCTTGCCTTAGCTCCACCACCAATTGCATGTGATGTTGGACAAGTCAAATTACTTCTCTGAGCCACAATTTCCTCACCTACAATCTGTAAAATGAAATGGTAGGACAAAATGATCTCTACTCTGTCTGCAATTCTCCCCAGTCTTGCATCTAGGCCCATTTTTTTCTTCAAGCCCCGCCCCAGGATTCTGGCCCGCTTTCTAGTGCTTGCCACAGGACTCCCAAAGACGCGCCCAAGCTACGCGTCTGCCTTTCAGAGGATGCGCTTTTCCTCTTTGCAATTGGTTCTCAGAATCTCCACCCTCCTCAACAATTTGCCTATGGCGGAGTAGTAGCCCTCTAGCTCCCGCCCCGTCACTGGTGATTGGCATGGGACCTAGCTCGTCCCCGCCCCCACTTGACTGAAGGTTCGGCCCTGGCGCCGCCCTCAGTCCCCAGGCGCTAGCTGACTGGGGTGGTTGGGACCGTTAGCTCGGCAGGCTGGCAGGCTCCGGGGCGCTACTCCATTGGCGGCCGGGATGGAGACGATGCGAGCGCAGCGGCTGCAGCCTGGTGTGGGCACCAGCGGGAGGGGCACTCTCCGAGCACTGCGGCCCGGAGTGACTGGGGCTGCGGCTGCAGCCGCCACACCCCCTGCGGGCCCCCCGCCTGCCCCGCCGCCTCCCGCACCGCCCCCGCCGCCGCTGCTCATGTCTGGGGCCCCAGGACTGCCCCTGTCCCCCGGCGCCGCCGGCAGCCCGGCAGTGCTGCGAGAGGCCGTGGAGGCCGTAGTGAGGAGCTTCGCCAAGCACACGCAGGGCTATGGCCGAGGTGAGTCTGCGGGTCTGGCCTCCTGTGCGACACCCTCTGAAAGGGAGTCTTGCTCCCACAGTCCTCCGGATCGCTTTTCCTGGCGTGGAGCCCTCACTTGCATTTCCTTTTGGGGAGTTTCCTTCTGGGCTACGCATACGCACAGACGCACACACTCATACACACGTTTAAGCCTCCTACCTCTCCTTCCCTTTACTGAGTTATTAATATATTCTCCAGGGACCCTTTTTCAGATACAATCCTCTTTTCTTCCTAAGCTTTTCTCCTTTAGAAATGGAATTCCTCCTCCAGCTTAATACCTTAACATCTCTCTGCCTTTGAGAACCAGTCCCCATTGTGTGAGATCCTCTTTTATTTCAGATCCAATTTCTCATCCACACCCTCTCAATCTTTCCTCTGTGATCTCTGCAATTCTGGACTCCCCTGTTAATTTGCTCCAGCTCCTTAACCTTGACTTTTAAATTCTTTACTTACCTTCACTCTGAAATTTCAGTGCAACTTCAGATTTACTGGGGAACTAGGTAGTGCCTTCACAAGTCACTTATAGTAATTGTGCATTTAAATCCGGACCTGTACCACTGAGCTCACACCAGCTTCCTGTGGCTTAGCACCTTACTTTGGTATCTTGTTTAGTATGGAGACTCACAGCTCCAGCCTTTCTGTCTGGCTCTGTTTTCCTGGCCCTTGCCCAGGAACTGAGGATAAATCCCAGGCCTTGGCTCTTTCAATGTTAAATTCTGTGGAAATGAGCCAGGTTAGAAACTCTATTTCAGTTAGAAAACTTCGTCTTAAAGATGTCTAATTTCTTTAAAGAGGGATGTGAGGGTTTTCTTTGTTGTTTTTGTTTAACTAGTGTAGTTTCCTATCTGAATTTGAGTTCCAGATTTATAGTGTAAGTAATAAGGAATATATAGTGAAGGGTGTGGAATACAGAATTTAAGCCTGGAATTTACAAGACATCCCTTCTGTCTCCTTGGCCAGGTCCTGCTTGACCTGGAAGTGACTATATTTTTAACTTTCTGGTTTAACAATAATGCAGAGAAAAGTTACAGGGCTTTTCTGTAGATTTTCTTTTTTTAAGAAAGTTTAGTGAAAAGAGCACACACAGGGTTTGGAGATCTTTGTCACTTCCCAGCCAAATCGTTGGGAAAGGGACTTAATCTCACTGAGCTTCAGTTTCTTCAGGGATTACAATATGGATTAACTGAGACATTGCAAATGACATGTAACCTAAAAATGATTATTATCTCAAATGCGTTGGTTCATAGTTCCTCAAGTAGAACATGCTTCACTTTTTCCCACTCTTAAATCCTGATAATGTAAACCCAAAAATTCCTGTGAAAAGAGATTTTTAGAGCCATTTTGCTATATGTGCCTATGATTCATTTATCTTCAATTTCCCTTTGTTCTTCATACAATTTGAACTCCTGTTATAAGACAGGAACTCTGCTAGGTGCTGGGGATACAAATGGATGAATCCGAAACTCATAAGGACATATTATTTTTCCAATGTAATCCCAAGATTTAACAAGGCTATGTGATGGAACTGCTATTAGCTACTATCTTGCTGCTTCAAGTCTCTAAGTCAAGATCAAGGGAAGGTCTTTGCCTCTGGGCACAGGAGTAGCCTAGAGTGGTCACACTAAATCTGAAGCCTTCCTCTTGGAAACTTATAGGCATTTATTAAAATTGTAGAGGAGTACACCCTTTTTCTTGTCTGTGTTACCTGGAGAGCCTCTGCTTTGGCTCCTAAACTGGGCATCCTGTAAAAACTTTCATTTCCTTAGCAAGGATGAGGGAACAAGGGGATTGTGCTGACAAAGGGCAATTAGTCAGGCTTCAGTCTCTGTGGTGATTTTCTTTCCTATCTCCCCACCTCCCATCGCAGTCTTTCTCATTATTCTTGAGTTTCTCATTTCCAATCTGGGTGTCCAGCCAGTACTTTAGGAGAATCTGGCAGATAGTTCAGCTTCAGGCAAGCAGAATCTCTGCCCATTTGGCTCAGAAGTCCTTTACCACATGGAATCACTTATTCTGCTTCAATTCTTAGACAAAGCTGCCACTGGCATGTACTCACATACCCTTGTGACTGATGGCATGGTATTTGGGGGAATGGATGTATTCCCCTGAATACAATTTACTTTAGCCTCTGCCTAGACAATTCATTCCCTCATCCAGCAATGCTTTACCGCATCATCTTCAATTAACATCCTTCATCTTCTTCCTGAATGCTCCAAATTCACCTTTTCCAGCCAGTCTTTAGATCTACCTTCACTCATGTGGAATATCAGTATGTATGTATGTATGTATTTTTAAAAACTTTCCTGTCCTTTATCTGCCTCCCTCACCCACTTACCCAAGATACACACATAGCTCAGTATTCTGTAGGATCTTGATAAGTTTGTAGTGCATGGGATTTGTAATCAGAGGACCTAGCCCTGTTAAAAAGTTGGCCGTATGATCTTGGAGAAGTTGCTTAATCTCTCTATGCCTCATCTGTTCTCTTCATTCATTTAACAAATATTTATTGATCACCAGATGCAGTGGTGGACAAGGCAGATATTTAGTCCCTATCTTGATGGAGCTCACAGTTCATACTACAGAGCATGTATAAAGATTAATGGTGTAATAAAGCAGGCCAGCCCAATACAAAGAGGGTTGACTTTGGAGCCAAACATTGTTTCTAAATCCTGGTTCTGCCACTTCTGGCCTGTTCCTTAACTTGCTTACTTTTGGTAAAATGGGTATTATAATACTTATCCTGATAGTTTTGTGTGGATTAAATGAGACAACGAATATAAAGCATGCAGCACATGGTACTTAGTGTGGTTGCTATTATTGTGCATTTGGAAATGCTTTGGAAACTGCAAATGATATGTATTGTTCTGCATTGCCATTTCCTTTGCCCCCTTTTTTCTATGGCATATAATCTCTTTCTCATGTTTGACATCTGGCAATCTCTAAACAGGCAGGATCGAGTAACTCACTTGCCTTGCTCTGTAACTGCTACATTTCCCTCTTCAAACCTGTTGTTTTGGAAGTATTGCTATCCTTTTATGTTACAATATGGCTGCATGATTGGAGATTTTGCCCTGCTATTTCACTAAGTTGAACAAATGAATCTTGTGTAGTGTTTTCTATTTAGTTGTTCCTTTTCCTCAGAATCACAGACAGCTTCTTTTCTGTAAGACTGGAGTTAAATGGGTTGGGCCGAATATTTCCAATTTTTGGAAATGCTGGATTAGTCCCTATATTAGTTTCCTGTGGCTACTGTAACAAATTATCACAACTTTAGTGGCTTAAACCAACAGAAGTTTGTTCTCTCATAGTTCTGGAGGCCAGAAGTCCAAAATCAGTATTACTGGGCCAAAATCAAGGTGTTGGCAGGGCCGTGTTCCCTCCAAAAGCTCTAGGGGAGAATTCATTCTTTGCCTCTTCCAGCTTCTGGTGGCTGCTGACATTGGTTTATTACTTGGTTTATTGCTGTATCACTATAATCTCTACCTCTGTGACTCCTCCTCTTCGTTAAATATGCCTCCTTTTTTTTTTTTTTTTTTTTTTCAAAGAGATGGGATCTCACTGTGTTGCCTAGGCTGGACTGCAGTGGTGCAATCATAGCTCACTGCAGCCTGGAACTGCTGGGCTCCAGTGATCCTCCCACCTGCCTCAGCCTCCCAAGTAGCTAGGACTACAGGTGCATGTCACCACACCTGGCTGATTTTAAAAAATTTTTTGTAGAAACAAGATCCCACGATATTGCCCAGGCTGGTCTTGAACTCCTGGCCTCAAGTGATCATCCTGCTTTGGCCTCCCAAAGTGCTGGAATTATAGGCATGAGTCAATGTGCCCATCCTGCCTCCCTCTTATAAGGACACTTGTGAATGCACTTAGGGCCCACCTATATAATCTAGGTAATTTCCCCATCTCAAATCATTTAAACCCATCTGCAAAGTCTTTGCCAGATAAAGTGACATTCACAGGTTCCAAGGATTAGGACATGGACATTTTGGAAGGTGGCATCATTCAGTCTACCAGAGTCCCCTCCCAAAGTCACTGTTACTTTGCAGTCTCTCCTTCCAAAGAGACTGTGCACTGTAGGCTATTTAGGGGCAGATGTACCTTCTAAACATTGAAATAGGAAATAGATGAAATATTGTTAACTACCTTCCCTATCTTCCATAATAATGTGAATAGGGTCAGTCTATTCTCGCCATCCTATATGATCAAAGAGACTCTTTTTACTCACCTCTTAATTTCATTATCTCTTTATTCCTGCTTCCCCACCACAAAGTTGTATTTATTATTATTTTTTCTTTTATTTTTGTTAATTACCTTCCTGGCAAGGTTGTATTTATCCTTATGATATAAAATTTTTACTGTAGTTTCATATATTGTTTTAATATTTTTATCCTGGCCAGGCACAATGGCTCATGCCTGTAATCCCAACATTTTGAGGCCAACTCAGGAGGATTGCTTGAACCTTAGAGTTTGAGACCAGCCTGGGCAACATAGTGAGATACTATCTCTACAAAAATTTTTAAAAATTATCCAGGCATGGTGGCATGCATCTTGTAGTCCCAGCCACTCAGGGAGCTGAGGTAGGAGGATCACTTGAACCTAGGAAGTCAAGGCTGCAGTGAGGTGTGATTGTGCCACTGAATTCTAGCCTCAGTGATAGAGTGAGACTTTGCCTCAAAAAAAAAAAAAAGTTTTAGGTTAGGTGCAGTGGCTCACACTGTAATCCCAGCACTTTGGGAGGCCGAGGTGGGAGGATCATCTGAAGTCAGGAGTTCAAGACCAGCCTGGCCAACATGGCAAAACCCCGTCTCTACTAAAAATACAAAAATTAGCTGGGTGTGGTGGCGTGTACCTGTAATCCCAGCTACTTGGGAGGCTGAGCCAGGAGAATTGCTTGAACCTTGGAGGTGGAGGTTGCTGTGAGCCACGATCATGCTACTGCACTCCAGCCTGGGCGACAGAGCAAGACTTTGTCTCAAAAACAAAAACAACAACAACAAAAAAGTTTTTAGTTTGGCTGAAAATGATCACTACCTCTCATTCCCATCCTGTCCACTTAGACGTTCGTATATTTTATCTCCTAAAGGCAAAAACGAAATTATTCTCTTTTTTGTTATTCAACAGCAGGGCATAAGCACTGAAATATTCCTATCTTGGTCTATCTTGTGAGGGACTTTGAGAAAACAATTGTCAGAGGTGTATATCTGTTATTCCTACCCTCCCACCTTACTGTTCTTTAGCCATCTTTATGTAAACCATTATATCCATGGTTCCTCACTGAAAATATGATAAAAAATGTGAGTGCTCCACACATACACATGCACAGATACTCATATGCACACAGACACACACATAATTTTACTTTAGGAAGCTTGTGAACCTCCATGAAGCTCAGCTATGGACTGGACCTTGGAGCCTGAGTTAAGATTCCCAAATTGGAAAGAATATTGGCCCCCGGAAATCTAGATTTATGCCCCAACTCTGCCATAGCCGTGTGACCTCAAACAAGTCTTCTGTTCTTTCTTAGCCAGTGTTGGACTAGATGATCTCTAAAGTTCCTTCCAGTTCTAAACATGAATAAGTCTAGAAGCATTTTCAAATGCGGATCACAATTAGTTGCTTTTTTCTTGACCACTTTGCCCAATTATCATTTCATACTCGCATTTCTAAAATCAAGACTCCCCATGCCCCTTGGCTTTGAGTAATCATTAAAAAATGGTTCTCTGGTCTGTGCGAAGAAATGTTTAACTGGATAGAGACTGAACATATGCTTTTTAATAGGACCTTCCCAATTATGGTGGTCTCCTCCTCTTCCTCTTTATTCCAGTATTCTCCCTGTTGTGTGCATGTCAGGAGAGCTGTCACCCAGTGCATTGTGCTAAACTGTCTCAAAGAGGGAACTGGAGCTGAAAAGATCTCATGGAGAGAACAAAGATGGCTGAGCTTTCTGGTCAGTATTGACCTTTGAAGAGCCCTGCCAAAACCAATGGAGGGAAAGAGAGTTTTCTTTTCATGCTGGATCTTTTTTTTTAATTTTTAATTTTAATTTTTTTTGCCCATGACAGAGCCTCAGGAGGTCCTAATGACGTGCCCTCATGCTGTCTTTTAATAGAAGAATGAGCATTCTTAAAAGTCAGTTAAATGTAGGTTATTAAAAAGAGTTTATGCTGCTTCTCAAACTCAGGCTAGTACATGGGTGTTTGTTTCAGAAACAGAGCAGGCGAGACAATTTATTATTGGCCACTGATTTTAAATTCCTCGCTTGCTGGGCGCGGTGGCTCACGCCTGTAATCCCGGCACTTTGGGAGGCCGAGGCAGGTGTATCACCTAAGATCAGGAGTCTGAGACCAGCCTGACCAATATGGTGAAACCCTGTCTCTACTAAAAATACGAAAATTAGCCAGGCATGGCGGCATGTGCCTGTAATCCCAGCTACTCAAGAGGCTGAGACAGAAGAATTGCTGGAACCTGGGAGGTAGAGGTTGCAGTGAGCCGAGATCGCACCACTGCACTCCAGCCTGGGCAAGAGTGAGACTCCAACTCAAATATAAAATAAATTCTTTGCTTGCAGGAACTGTGTGTTATTCTTTTCATGCCCAGTGCTTAGAATAATGCCATGTACCTATTAAATGCTCAAACTTTAGCTAATGTGTGTATGACAGCCATGAAAATGTGCAGTTCAGATTGCCTGCTGCAGGGAGCATAACTAACAGCCTCAGCCACTGCCCACCCTGGGTCATCCATAATCACATTTGCACCCCAAAGTTGCACATTTGCATCTATAACCACATTTGAAGGAACCACGCTTCCTGTAGGCTGCTCCCAACCAATGACCGAGCACATCAGGGGTATTAACACAGGCAGATCCTGGTGAGATATGAGATTCTTTTGCGATGAGGACTTCTCACTGGCTTAGCCAAATCTTTCTTAAAACTGTACTATAGCCGGGTGCGGTGACTCACGCCTGTAATCCCAGCACTTTGGGAGGCCGAGGCGGGTGGATCACGAGGTCACGAGGTCAGGAGATTGAGACCATCCTGGCTAACACGGTGAAACCCCGTCTCTACTAAAAATACAAAAAATTAGCCGGGTGTGGTGGCGGGCGCCTGTAGTCCCAGCTACTTGGGAGACTGAGGCAGGAGAATGGCGTGAACCCGGGAGGCAGAGCTTGCAGTGAGCTGAGATTGTATCACTGCACTCCAGCCTGGCCGACAGAGTGAGGCTCTGTCTAAAAAAAAAAAAACAAAACAACAACAACAACTGTACTACAGTCTGAGACTATCATATCTAGACCTCCTTCTTTGCCTCTCTTCCACGGTCATCAGATCTTTGCTGTGCTCAGAAGGCTCTCCCTGTCTTCTCCTACTTCCTCCCCAATAAGTCTCTTGGAATTGCCTATCCCATCTTGGTGTCTTCTTGGCAGATCTGAACTAAGGAAATATGAAAGAACGAATGAGCCTTTGTTGCGATTAAGAGTAGGAGAGGAGAGGCCAGGCGTGGTGGCTCACGCCTGTAATCCCAGCACTTTGGGAGGCTGAGGTGGAGGAGGAGCTCTTTAGGAGGCCGCTTGAGCTCAGGAGTTTGAGACCAGCCTTGGCAATACAGTGAAACCCTGTTTCTACAAAAATTACAAAAATTAGCCGGGTGTGGTGACATACACCTGTGGTCCCAGCTACTCGGAGGCTAAGGTTGGAGGATTGCTTGGGCCTGGGAGGTGGAGGTTGCAGTGAGCTGAGATTGCTCCACTGCACTCCAGCCTGGGCAACAGAGTGAGATCCTGTCTCAAAAAAAAAAGAAAAAGGAGAGTGGTCAATATGTTGCAAGATATTGGAGAGCACCTGTGATAATTTTTTATTATGAGGTTTTAGCTAAAACTATTTGAAATGTTTGGAACCCTAGAGTCAATGTGATCCTTTCTAAAAGCGAACTGATCTCATCCCTCTTTTTTTTTTTTTAAATTAATTATTTTTCCTTGGAGCTGAGTTCAAAAGAATCCCTCCTTCTTTTTAAAGTCCTCCCATTGCTTCCTATTGCTTTAGGATAAAGCCAATACTCTAACATGGCCTAAAAGGCCCTACTTGGTCTGATCCCTGCCTTCTCTTGCAACCTCATCTTGCATTACACTTCCCCTCACTCACTCTTCCATAGCCACATGGTCTTAATTCCCTTTATTCATCATGTTCCCTGCTGTCACGAGCCTTTGAACATGCTGTTCTTTATACTCAGAACACTATCCTCTCTCCTCTTTCCTAGTGAATTCCTAGTCATACCTGAACTTAGATATTGCCTCCTCAGGGTAGCTTTCTTTGACCTTCTTAACTAGGTCAGATACTCCGACATCTATCACTCCTTTATAGAACTTGATCACAGCTGCAATTTTACATTTGTTTGAGATCTGGTTAATATCTCTTTCCCTCTTTACACTGTAGGCTACATAAAGAAAATGTAGGGGATGAGAAGAAGTATTCTAGAATACAATGTCAGGTCTGGAGTTTGATTTTAGCCTACTTACAACTAATAAATTAGCCATTTACTGTTTCATGGTTGCTGGCAGAAGTCAAGAGACTTTGAGATTAGAGACAAAGGAATTTACTATTCATAGCACAGCAAGTAGCATGAGCATCATGTTTATATTAGTTCTCCTTGCCTCCTCCAAAGTCCAATGCAGAGGACTCAGGTAGATACTTGCATAGGCCACGGGTTGCTTCACAACAGAGGAACACTTACAGAACCTGCAGCTTGGGGAACTTGCCATTTTACAACAAGCAGAAGCAAGCATGTTCTTTATCTGAGTAAAGATAGTACCTCATCCCTCAATATTTCTTGCTGCAAGCACAGTCCTGAAAAATAGCCCAAGTAAAGAGCAGTCAGGGTTTTGCAATCTTGCCATACCTAGCAAGATGTGAAGGAGCATAAGAGACCGGCCCATGGAGGAGTGCTTCTTTTTAAAGTCCTCCAATTGCTTCCCATTTCGTTGCTTTGCATCTCACCATATAGTTCCTCCAAAAATCATTTATACCCAGGTAAAGCCTCAAAAGAGTTCTCTCCCACCTCCATGCCCTGGCTTCTCACACCCATAGTATATACATAGTATTCTGGGTTGGAAAAGGAATCTAGCAATGGATGTGCTTACTAGAAGCACAGGCTCGAGAATGGTTATTAGGGCTATATTTCCTTGAGCCAGCAGTATTGCATAAAAGAATACTCATTGGAACCAAGACTGCTTGAGTTTGAATACTCAAACTGCTACTTTCTCCTGGCATAACCTTGGGCAAGTTATTTAACCTCTCTATACCTCATTTCCCTCATCTGTAAAATATGGATAGTGAAAATATCTGCTTCATAAAGTTGCTGTGATTAAACACGTAAAGCAGTTACAGAAATGCCTGACATACAATGTGTTCAATACATGTTAGCACTTATTGTGGTGGTTATTACCATCCTGGGCCAGCTAACAATTGTGGAGTAATCTACTTGTGTTTCATCAGGCAGTGATAATGGTCTGCTGACATTGGGAACTCTGCCTCCAATATTTAAGTTATTCTAGGACTAAGTTAAAATGTGAACTATTCAGATTGGAGGTGGGAGTGAAAAAAAAATTTAAATAAAATAAAATGTGAACCAGAAAAGTGGTGGAGGAGGGAAGGCATACGCTGGTCTTTCTAGGCAAATTAACTTAATCACAGTCTAGGTTTATTAATTTAAATGCTTTTAAATGGCAATAGGTAGGGAGCTAAGGGGCTGACTCTTAATGTAGGTACAGGTTACAGATACTGTATTGAAGTATAGCACCACTTGGAGGTGTTCTCATTGCTGAACTTAACTATTTCTCTTTTGTAGTGAATGTGGTGGAGGCACTTCAGGAATTCTGGCAGATGAAGCAGTCCCGTGGTGCTGACTTAAAGAATGGGGCTCTAGTGGTTTATGAGATGGTTCCCTCCAACAGCCCTCCTTATGTCTGCTATGTCACGCTGCCTGGGGGAAGTTGCTTTGGGAGTTTCCAGGTAAGAGTTGTGAGGTGGCAGTAGCAAAGGTAAATGCTTAGATGTTAGTAACGGCTTTCTCCATCACTTTGGCCATTAAACTGCCTGAAATCATATATTTGAGGACCTAAAGCAATTCTGGGAAAATTATTCTGGCAAGCATCTGAGGCCAATTTGACCATAATAGAACCTCAGTATCATGCTTTCCTTTCAAGAACTCAAACCCATTTTGAATTTGAGCAGTTTTGAACATCCCCTTGCTCAGTATATCCGACTACCAGCATCCAACCCATGTTCCAATCTGGCTTCAGTTATTGCATTCCAACTATTTTCCATCTCTTATTGAGGATATAGAACAATATTCCTTGCCTCCAGTACTTTTTCATAGGCAATTACTAAAGAAAGCAATGTTGGAGTTCTCTAAGAGGTCAAATCGGAGGGACTATGTATGGTGGGAACAGTACTCATCTAAGAGTTAGGAGATCTAAATTCACATTCCTCTGAATATCAGTGGGGCAAATCTCTGGGCCTCACTTTTCCCATCTATAACATGAAGGAGATAGGTTAGATGATTTCTGAAGTCTTTTCTACTACTAACATTCTACAATTATGTGAAATACCTATGATGATGAAAAGAATGGTTGCCATTATGAGGTAGTGAGAAATTATGGACTAGTATGAATATTCTTATCAAAGATGGATTTTTTACGTTGCAGACAGGGAGGCAGCCTTCTGAAATGTCAGTTTAAAACTCTGAAATGGAATTTAGAGAAAATAATAAACACCTTTGTTCTGCTTTCCATATGGTTTGTATAACCCTTAGACAAGGTTAAAAGCCCTGCTGTGTGTCTGCATAGCACCTGGAACTTCCCCTATCATATCACTTATTACAACATATCATAATTGTCTCTCCTAGTGGACTGTGTTCCATAGAGGCAAAGATTGTGTCTGTCTTCTTGTTAAATCCCTACCACCTATCTTAGTGCCTACCAGATAGTAGGCAAATATGTCTGCTGCATGAATGAGTGCCGTTGCAGCTTAGTTTATGCCTCAAACAAAGCAGTCCTAAGGAAACTTCATTTCACATCAGGTGATGAAATTTTTTCCCTTAGAACTGCAGTCATTTCAGGCCTGGTGCGATGGCTCACACCTGTAATCCCAGCACTTTGGGAGGCCGAGGCGGGCAGATCGCGGGGTCAGGAGATTGAGACCAGCCTGACCAACATGGTGAAACCCCGTCCCTACTAAAAATGCAAAAATTAGCTGGGCGTGATGGCGCATGCCTGTAATCCCAGCTACTTAGGAGGCTGAGGCAGGAGAATTGCTTGAACTCGGGAGCCGGAGGTTGCAGTGAAAAGAACTTCAGTCATTTCAGAGAAATAAATATATACCCAAGATGACGAATGTTTATGTTCCACTTGTTTTTTTGAGATGGAGTCTCACCCTGTTGCCCAGGCTGGAGTGCAGTGGTATGATCCTGGCTCACTGCAACCTCCACCTCCTGGGTTCAAGTGATTCTCCTGCCTCAGCCTCCCCAGTAGCTAGGACTACAGGTGCGTGCCACCAGGCCTGGCTAATTTTTTTCTTTTTTCTTTTTTTGTTTTGTATTTTTACTAGAGACAGGGTTTCACCATGTTAGCCAGGATGGTCTCAATCTCCTGACCTCATGATCCGCCCACCTTGGCCTCCCAAAGTGCTGGGATTACAGGTGTGAGCTACCGCGCCCAGCCTATGCTTTCACTTCTAAGAGAATAAGATCTTTCCTTCTTCTTTTTTTTTCTTTTTTGGAGATAGAGTCTCGCTCTGTTGCCCAGGCTGGAGTACAACAGCCCGATCTCAGCTCACTGCAACCTCTGCCTCCCGGGTTCAAGTGATTCTCCCTGCCTCAGCCTCCCAAGTAGCTGGGAGTACAGGCACCTGCCACCACGCCCAACTACTTTTTTGTATTTTTAGTAGAGGCGGGGTTTCGCCATGTTGGCCAGGCTGGTCTCGAACTCCTGACCTCAAGCAATCCGTCCACCTCGGCCTCCCAAAGTGCTGGAATTACAGGCGTGAGCCACCGGGCCTGGCTGATCTTTCCTTCTTCTTCCCACCTCATTACATTGTTGAATGACTTGAACATTTTATGATGGATGCCCATAACTGAAACATTGTAGTAATTATATTTCTGTTATTTTTGGAAAGGGTAGAATTATCTTTCTTGGCCTTTTAGCCTAAACTTTTTTTTTTGAGACGGAGTCTTGCTGTGTCACCTGGGCTGGAGTGCAGTGGCGTGATCTCGGCTCACTGTAACCTCCACCTCCCAGGTTCAAGCAATTCTCCCTGCCTCCACCTCCCGAGTAGCTGGGATTATAGGCGCCTGCTACCACGCCCAGCTAATTTTTGTATTTTTGTATTATTTCACCATGTTGGCCAGGCTGATCTTGAACTCCTGACCTCAGGTGATCTGCCTGCCTCAGCCTCCCAAAGTGCTGGGATTACAGGTATGAGCCACCTCGCCCAGGTTTTTTTTTTTTTTTTTCTTGAGACAGGGCCTCTCTCTGTCACCCAGACTGAAGTACAGTGGCACAATCATGGCTCACTGCAGCCTTGACTTCGTGGGCTCAAGTGATCCTCCCACCTCAGCCTCCCGAATAGCTGGGACCGCAGGCATGTGCCACCATGCCTGGCTAGTTTTTGTATTTTTGGTAGAAATGGAGTTTTGCCATGTTTCCCAGGCTGGTCGCAAACTCCTGAGCTCAAGCAATCCTTTCATCTCAGCCTCCCAAAGTGCTGGGATTACAGGTGTGAGTCACCCGGCCAGGGGCAGGGTGCAATAACTGAAGCTAGATCAGAACATGGGCTGGGTGTTGGTAGTCCGATATACTGAGCAAGGGCATAATCCACAACTGCTCAAATTCAAGATGGGTTTGAGTTTATACCTCTTTATCCACTTTGGCAGGTGAAATTTCTCCCACTGGTTTTCTTCACAGATGACTTTTTAAGCAACAGCACTATAGAGCAGGCCAGCAGGCTAGTAATAGACAAATAGAAACAGACAAATTGAAGCATTGGGAAGACTTCAGACTTATTTACCAAACTTCATATGCTGTCTCAGAGAGCCTGTCAGTTAATAGAAATTAGGAATTATTGATAGTAGGGATGTTTAAGTACTAAACACATCCTGGTCTACTTATTTATTGTTTTTTTTTTTTTTGGTTTTTTTTTTTTTTTTGAGACAGTCTCACTCAGTCGCCCAGGCTGGAGTGCAGTGGCGTGGTCTCGGCTCACTGCAACCTCCGCCTCCTGGGTTCAAGCAATTCTCTGCCTCAGCCTCCCAAGTAGCTGAGATTACAGGCACCTGCCACCACGCCCAACTACTTTTTTGTATTTTTAGTAGAGGCGGGGTTTCACCATGTTGGCCAGGCTGATCTTGAACTCCTGACCTCAGGTGATCTGCCTGCCTCAGCCTCCCAAAGTGCTGGGATTACAGGTATGAGCCACCTCGCCCAGCCACCTGGTGCCATGCTTCTATACAGCCTGTGGAACCATGAGTCAATTAAACCTCTTCTCAGGTTTTTTTTTTTTTTTAAGACAGAGTTGTGCTCTGTTGCCCAAGCTGGAGTGTAGTGGCACAATCATAGCTCACTGCAGCCTTGACTCCTGGGCTCAAGTGATCCTTCCACCTCAACCTCTTGATTAGCTGGGACCACAGGTGTGCACCACAACCATGCCCAGCTCATTTTTAAATTTTTTGTAGAGACAGCGTTTCACTATGTTGGCCAGGCTGGTCTCAAACTCCTGGCCTCAAGTGATCCTCCCGCCTTGGCCTCCCAAAGTGCTGGGATTACAGGCATGAGCCACCATGCCCAACCTCTGTTCTACTTTTTATTTTAAGTTTTCTTTTAGAAACAGAGTCTCACTCTGTCACCCAGGCTGGAGTGTAATGGTGTGATCATAACTCATTGCAGCCTGGAACTCCTGGCTCAAGTGATCCTTCTGCCTCAGCCTCCTAAATAGCTGGGACTACAGGCACGTGTCACCATGCCTGGCTAATTTTTTTTTTTTTGTAGAGACAGGGGTCTTGCTATGTTGCCCAGGTTAGTCTTGAATTCCTGGGCTCAAACCATCCTCCTATCTTGGACTCCCAAAGTGCTGGGATTACAAGTGTGAGCCACCAAGCCCAGCCTTGGTCTACTTTTAAAAACTGCAACATCATTTTCTTCCTTTCCTCTAATTACTCATAAATGACATAGGGCAAAGAGGCCTTTGAGATAGCCAATAAAGATGAATTATAAAGGAATACTATGGTGGCTAGAGATCTGAAATTGAATAATTTTGAGACTTCTGCAGATCAGACTTGTTCTGTGATACCTATGTTGGATACAATATAAAAACATGAGTTAATTTTTATTTTTTTCCTTCTTAAGTCAGCTTTCCTTCCCATAATTACTCCTCTTCTCTTTGTTTCCACTGGGGGGAAGAAAAGAAGTCTACAAATTCCTTCCTCAGACTTAAACCCTTCTCAGGGATAGCTCCTTTGGCTGACTACATTGAGAAAATGCCTGTTCACAGCTAAAAATGAAGTCCAAAATTCCAAGATGGGTGCTTCTGATAGAGACCAGTGGCCTTCTCTGTAGAAGCAGCCTAGACACAGCTTCGGTTCTAATCTTGGGTTATCTAGAGGAATCCAAAAAACCTTGCCTGTCCACAGAACAAGATACAGATTTCTATTAAGCTGGCCAGAATCTGACTTTTGAGTAATTAATTCTGTCGACAGTTTTAACAGGGGTATTTTTCATGTCCAGTGATTATATGCTGACTTAAGCAGCCTTCCTCATTCTGCATTCAGTTTGGTATGAGCTACAGCACTCTCCAGTACCTTAATGACTTCAGGATGTTGAATCAAAATTACGTTTCCAAACATCCCGACCACTTTACCATAAAAACCTTGGAGAGTGTGTTGAACACAACTGATTTATCCAAAGAGTGTCCAAGTGTTTTCTATCTGAAGTGTTTCCCTCCCACTGTTCCTTCCTCTCTCTCATATGCACAAATACACATATTCTCACTCATTCTCCCCTGCCTAGTTTTGCCCCACAAAAGCTGAGGCCCGGAGGAGTGCTGCAAAGATTGCGCTAATGAATTCTGTGTTTAATGAACATCCTTCCCGAAGAATCACTGATGAGTTCATCGAGAAGAGTGTCTCTGAGGCCCTGGCATCTTTCAATGTAAGTTATATGGAGCTGGAAGGAGAGTGGGAGATGGGAGAACCGGCTGCTTGGGAATTCATAAATTACTGTGAAACAGAGCATGAATTCCTGTTTTCTTTCTGGTCCACCTCTCTGTTCTTTTGATTTATTCTCTGTCAGTTTATTGTGTCATGTGTTCCACATGTCTCAGTCTCTAATTCTATATCTGTGTTTATGTGTTTTTGGTTGTTTTGTCTCTTTCATTTTATCTCTTTGGTATGTAGAAACCTTTAATTGCATATTTATGGAATTGTAGAGCTATTCCAAAATGAAAATTGAGCTTGAATTTTGCTTTTGCTAATTTGGGTTAAGACCTTAGTTTCTGCTGTTCTTTTTTTATAAGACTGTTTTTTATTGTCACTTTTCTCCTGCCTCCATTACTTCATCTTATTGATAAATAACCCTTTTATAATAAAATGTCTTTTTATCTATTTTAGGAACAAGGAGGATAATTTATTTACTCTCTTTATTTACAACTGTTCTTTCAAATGATGATAATAAGAATCACCATAATTAATCCTAATTGAGTATTTACCTTGTGGCAGGGACTGTCCTAGGGGATTTTTATGTATTTTACCTCATTAGATCATCACAACAATCCTAGGAGGTATAAGTACTATTATTACTCCTATTTTACAGATGAGGAGACTAAAAACACAGAAGTGAAGTGTCAACATGATATAGCTCGTAAGTGGTCACGCCAAGATTAGAACCCGAGTTGACTTAATTTAGTTACATCTTAGAAATTAACACTGCTATCTTCCTTCCTCTCGACAAATTCATTGATACTCAGACCAAGTATCTGTTCTATTTGCATTTAATTAAGATGTAATTACAGGCCGGGTGCAGTGGCTCATGCCTGTAATCCCAGCACTTTGGGAGGCTGAGGCAGGCAGATCACCTGAGGTTAGGAGGTCAAAACCAGCCTGGCTAAAATAGCGAAACCTCATCTCTACTAAAAATACAAAAGTTAGCTGGGCGCAGTGGTGGGTGCCTGTAATCCCAGCTACTTGGGAGCCTGAGGCAGGAGAAAAGCTTGAACCTGGGAGGCGGAGATTGCAGTGAACTGAGGTCATGCCATTGCACTCCAGCCTGGGTGACAGAGCAAGATTCCGTCTCAAAAAAATAAAAATAAAAATAAAATTAAAAAGATGTAATTACATATATTAAATTAGTTCAGTTATCTGCTTTGTGGATTAGTTGTTGAACACTTTATTGAAAGTTGGTTTCCCTCTGTTATTTAGGACCCAGCTGTTTTTCTCCCATTATTCTTTGCCCCAGTCAACAGCATCTGCAGGGAATGAAAACATTTTTATATTAATCCAAACCAAATAAAAAAAGAAGACCCCAGCTAAAATTTTTTGGAAAGTACACTTGCTATTTTTAGGTCACCTAATGGTATTGTAAAAGAAAACAGGGCCAGGCACAATGGCTCACGCTTGTAATCCCAGCACATTGTGGGGCAGATGACAGCAGATCACTTGAAGTCAGGAGTTCGAGACCAGCCTGGCCAACATGGCAAAACCCCATCTCTACCAAAAATAGAAAAATTGGCTGGGCACGGTGGCTCATGCCTGTAATCCCAGCACTTTGGGAGGCTGAGGTGGGCAGATCACGAGGTCAAGAGATTGAGACCATTGGGCTGACATGGTGAAACCCCGTCTCTACTTAAAAACAAACAAGCAAAAAATTAGCCAGGTGTGGTGGTAGCCGGGCGCGCCTGTAGTCCCAGCTGCTCAGGAGGCTGAGGAAGGAAAATCACTTGAACCCGGAAGGCAGAGGTTGTAGTGAGCCGAGATCGCACCATTGCACTCCAGCCTGGTGACAGAGCGAGACTCTGTCTCAAAAAAAAAAAAAAAAGAAAAAATGCAAAAATTAGCTGGGTATTATGGCACACGCCTGTAATGCCAGCTACTCAGGAGGCTGAAGGATGAGACTCGCTTAAACCTGGGAGATGGAGGTGCAGTGAGATCATTCCATTGCACTCCATCCTGGGCAACAAAGTGAGATTCTGTCTCAAAAAAAAAAAAAAGAAAAGAAAAGGGAAAAAAAAAAAAAGAAACTGTGGATTATAGAAAGTGGGATGTGCAGTATTTATATGATCATAGGCTCTAAATTCATTGTTGGCCAGGCGCAGTGGCTCATGCCTGTAATCCCAGCACTTTGGGAGGCTGAGGCGAGCGGATTGCCTGAGGTCAGGAGTTCAAGACCAGCCTGGCCAACACAGTGAAACGCCACCTCTACTAAAAATATAAAAATTAGCTGGATGTGGCGGGCACCTGTAATCCCAGCTATTTGGGAGGCCGAGGCAGGAGAATCACTTGAACCAGGAGGCAGAGGTTGAAGTGAGCCGAGATTGTGCTATTGCACTCCAGCTTGGGTGACAAAAGCAAAATTTTGTCTCAAAAAATAAATAACTAAATTCACTGTTATTGAAATTATGGTTCTAGGCCAGGTGTGGTGGCTCACACCTGTAATCCTAGTACTTTGCGGGGCTGAGGCAGGCAGATCACTTGAGCTCAGGAGTTGGAGACCAGCCTGGGCAACATGGTGAAACTCCATCTCTACAAAAAACACAGTTACCTGGGTATGGGGGCACGCGCCTGTAGTCCCAGCTACTTGGAGGTCTGAGGCAGGAATATCACTTGAGTGAGGAGGTCAAGGCTGCAGTGAGCCAAGATTTTACTACTGTACTCTAGCCTGGGTGACAAGGTGAGACCCTGTCTCAAAAAAAAAAAAAAAAAAAAGAAAGCAATTATGGTTCCTAGCTGGGCATAGTGGCTCATGCCTGTAATCCCAGCACTTTGGATGGCTGAGGTGAGCAGATCACCTGAGGTCAGGAGTTCAAGACCAGACTGGCCAACGTGGCAAAACCCCATCTCTACTAAAAAATACAAAAATTAGCCAGGCATGGTGGTACACACCTGTAGTCCCAGCTACTTAGGAGGCTGAGGTAGGAAAATCGCTTGAACCCAGGAGGCAGAGGTTGCAGTGAACTGAGATTGCACCACTGCACTCCAGCCTTGGCAACAGAGTGAGACTTCATCTCAAAAAAAAAAAAAAAAAAAGTATGGTTCTATAGTCTTCCTTTGGGATCTATGTGGGATTGGTTCCAGGATCTCTCGAGGACACCTAAACCCAAGGATGCTCAAGTCCTTCATATAAAATAGCAGAGTACAGCCTGGGCAACATAAGGAGACTCCATCTCTACAAAAAAATAATAAAATAATTAGCTGGGTATGGAGGCACTTGACTGTGATCCCAGCTACTTGGGAGGCTGAGGCAAGAGGATCACTTGATCCCGGGGAGGTTGAGGCTGCAGTGACCATCCACTGTACTCCAGCCAGGGTGACACACAGAATGAGACACAGTCTCAAAAAAAAAAAAAAAGTATAGTATTTGCATATAACCTATGCACATCCTCCCAAATGAATGCTCTAAATCATCTCTAGAGTACTTATAATACCTAATACAGTGTAAATGCTGGGCTGGGCATGGTGACTCGCGCCTGTAATCCCAGCACTTTGGGAGGTGGAGGCTGGTGGATCACCCGAGGTCAAGAGTTCAAGACCAGCCTGGCCAACATGGTGAAACCCCGTCTCTACTAAAAATATAAAAATCAGCCAGGTGTGGTGGCGCATGCCTACAGTTCTAGCTACTCTGCAGGCTGAGGCAGGAGAATCCCTTGAACCCAGTAGGCAGAGGTTGCAGTGAGCCGAGATTGCACCACTGCACTCCATCCTGGGTGACAGAGCAACAGAGTGAGACTCCGTCTGAAAGAAAAAAAAAATTAAATTTTTATTTTTAATTTAAAATTTTATTTAATTCTCAAAACAATCATTTAAGGTAGGTCTATGATTATTCCCATCTTACAGAAGAGGAAACTGCAGAACAGAGAGGTTAAATGACTTTACCAAGGCCACACTATTTGTAGGAGTTCCAGTCCATGCTCTTAACTTCTGTGCTGTAGTGGTTTTTATACATACTAGGCTTGAATGCAGGACAGCGTGTCTTAATTCTAACCCTGCAGGGTTACATAACCAATAGAAGACACAATAGGTCAGTGCCCAGGAGACCACACTGCTACCCAGAATTTCCCACACTTATACCACATTTCAGAAACTCAGTACAAGAATGTAAAATATTTTATTAATAATGTTTATACTGACTACAGTTGAAAAGTATTATTTTGAACATGTTGGGTTAAATAAGATATATTATTAAAATTAATTTTACTTTTTTTTTTTTTTGAGACAGAGTCTTACTCTGTTGTCCAGGCTGGAGTGCAGTGGCCCGATCTCTGCAATCTCCACCTCCTAGGTTCAAGTGATTCTCCTGCCTCAGCCTCCTGAGTAGCTGGGATTTACAGTCACCCACTACCACGCCCGGCTAATTTTTGTGTTTTTAGTAGAGACAGGGTTTCACCATGTTGGCCAGGCTGGTCTCAAACTCCTGACCTCAAGTGATCTACCCACCTTGGCCTCTCACAGTGCTGGGATTACAGGCATGAGCCACTGCACCTGGACTTACCTCTTTATTTTTACTTTAATGTGGCAGAGAGGAAATTTTAAATTAAATATGTGGCTTGCATTATATTTCTACTGGACAGTGCTGCTTGAGATGATAATCCTGGTTGAAAATCTATTTGTCTTTTCTGTTCCTCTACTACCAGGGCAACAGGGAGGAAGCTGACAACCCAAATACAGGGATTGGTGCCTTCCGATTCATGCTGGAATCCAACAAGGGCAAATCAATGTTGGAGTTCCAGGTACTTTCCCATGTACTTCCCTGGCTCTAATAACATGGGTCAGCCTGCTCCTATAATATATAATGGTTCCTACTAATTCCTAACTCACTGATACTGGAAAGGAAAGAAGATTGTTACACTGTTTTTCAAAAATAAATACCTTCCTGACCAGGCGTGGTGGCTCATGCCTGTATTCCCAGTACTTTGGGAGGCTGAGGCAGGTGGATCACTTGAGGCCGGGAGTTTGAGACCAGCCTGGCCAACATGGCAAAGCCCCGTTTCTACTAAAAATACAAAAATTAGCTGGGTATAATGGCACATGCCTGTAATCCCAGCTACTTGGGAGGCTGAGGCATGAGAATTGCTTGAACCCAGGAAGCAGAGGTTGCAGTGAGCTGAGATTGCGCCATTACACTCCAGCCTGGGTGACAAAGCAAGACTCTGTCTCAAATAGATAAGTAAATAAATAAATATTTTCCTTCCCCAAAGGCCTATCAGAGTTAGTGATGAAAGTTGCTTCTACAAATCCATTTTGTAAAAGGTTTCCCATGTAATTCTGATGTAACCTCCCAATATAAAATCACTGTCCCGGTACTTCCTATTCCTCCCCCAGGAGCTAATGACAGTTTTTCAACTGCTACACTGGAATGGCAGCCTTAAGGCCATGAGGGAACGACAATGCTCTCGGCAGGTAAGAGATTTTATGAGTGGGGGTGAATGAGGGGAGCACAATCTGTCAGCGGACTCTTTTGAGGTGGTTACTATGTTAGAAATAAGGTCTATTGTGACCTATGGTTGTGAATATTGAAAGCCTTACCTAAGTACCCTCTTCATCCCTGTAATCTTTCCTATTTAAATATTAGCTGTGATTCTTTTGTCTATCTTGCTTCCCCTACCAGGAAGTTTCCTTTAAGAATCTCCTTGAAGGATTTAGGTGCTGACCTCAGTTAGGTCTCTACTGAGTTCTTAGTCCCAGTTGGGTCAGTGTGGTACGATACGAACCTTTACCTTCTCAATGCTGTTCACATTCCCCTCCCCTACTAGGAGGTGTTGGCTCATTACTCGCACCGGGCTCTGGATGATGATATTCGCCACCAAATGGCCTTGGACTGGGTGAGCCGGGAGCAGAGTGTGCCAGGGGCACTGTCTAGAGAGCTGGCCTCTACTGAGCGGGAGCTGGATGAAGCCCGACTGGCAGGCAAGGAGCTGCGCTTCCACAAGGAGAAGAAAGATATTCTCGTGCTGGCTGCTGGGCAGTTGGGCAATATGCATTCTTCCAACTGCTAGGCATCCACCCACATACTCCCCAGCCTTTCCACAGCCTTTTTTGTATGTCTCCTTTCTAAGATTTAGAATGATTTTTTGTACATACTTTCTCAATTTTATACTTAAAAAATATATATATATATGTGTATAGATTCTACACCTAGATTCCTATTTGCTAAGAGATCCCTTTTCTTACTTCCAGTTTTTGGATGTAGTTTTATTTGAAACATCTTCAGTCCACTTTACAAGAAAGAGCACGTTGTCTTTGAAGCTTTGTTAGCTCTTAAACTTTCAGATTAACTGTGTAGTCATTTCAGTAGCACTAAAAGATTAACTCAAGTGTTCATGTCTCCTTCTTTTCAAATATCAGTAGCTTGAATAAGGATTATATGCCCCACTCTTACTCTCATTCCTGCTTCTTCTTGGACTCAAACAGGGTATGAGTATGAAGATTTTGCCTTTAGTTCTTGAACTGAACCTGCTTGCTATCCCTTTCCTGCCCACCACTACCTTATTCCTTCTCTGCCTCCAAATTTCCACTTTGTTTTGAGGCTTCCTTCCCTACCTTATTATTCTGAAAGAAGTAGAGATCTTGCTTTTGAAGCCACTCCTAAGAAACTGCCCAGGGACAAGTTAAATTACAAACAATTCATGGGACTTTACTACTTAAGTTGCTTCTAGGGCATATGTATACCGTACTAGTAGTCTAGATTTCTGGATATACTCTACAGTAGATGGGGGTTATGGTTGAAACTGATTATCTTTCACTATTCCCTCTGCACATCTCCCCTGCTCACCCAGCTTCGTTAAACCCTGCGTTTAGAACTTCCTGCCTGCAGCTATTAGTAGAAGGTAAAACATATTTCCATATTTCCTTTCACCCAATATTTTATTTTCTGAAAGCATTATCAGTCCTATCTGGTTAGTGAGAACCATGTTCCCCTTATTCCCGCTAAGTTGCTGCTGTTTACTACCTTAGATTCTCATTTGTTTTCTCTTTCTTTTCTCTTCTTCCACATTAATTATTAGAACATGAGTTGATCAGGAAAATTAAATGAGACTTTAGTTTTTAGCACTTCCTAATTGACACCTTGGGAGACTGCAGTTATTTGTGTGTGTGTGTGGGTTTTTTTTGGTTTTTGGAGATGGAGTCTCACACTGTTGCCCAGGCTGGAGTGCAATGGGGCGATCTCGACTCACTGCAACCTCTGCCTCCAGGGTTCAAGCGATTCTCTTGCCTCAGCCTCCCCAGTAGCTGGAATTACAGGCACACGCCACCACGCCTGGCTAATTTCTGTATTCTTAGTAGAGACGGGGTTTCACCATGTTGGCCAGGCTGTTCGTGAACTCCTGACATCACGTAATCTACCCGCCTCAGCCTCCCAAAGTGCTGGGATTACAGGCGTGAGCCACTGCGCCTGGCCTATTTGTGGGTGGTGGTGGTGTTTTTTGAGATGGAGTCTCACTCTGTTGCCCAGGCTGGAGTGCAGTGATGTGATCTTGGCTCACTGCAACCTCCGCCTCCCAGGTTCACGCCATTCTCCTGTCTCAGCCTCCCGAGTAGCTGGGACTACAGGCGCCTGCCACCACGCCCAGCTAATTTTTTGTATTTTTAGTAGAGACGGGGTTTCACTGTGTTAGCCAGGATGGTCTCGATCTCCTGACCTCGTGATCCACCCGCTTCGGCCTCCCAAACTATTTGTATTTTTAACACCATTCTCCCCCACCTCTTTCCTGGGTGACATAAGAGAGAAATAACCGGTAGTACAGCAGCTAAAGTATTCTCCTTTCAGAGAATTTTTTTGGAGGTCTCTAATATATATTTCCCCCTTGTTTCTGTGATCTCTTTTATACTATATTATTGTCCCATGTACTTTCTAAAGTGAGCTTGGGACATTTAGTATTCCTGCAATTGGACTTTGCACTTAACAGTTATACAGACTTTCCTTTTAGAAATAGATGAGGTTCCAAACAGAAAGTTCAAGTGTAACAATAACAATAAGAATAAATAGATTAGGAAATAGGCCATAATTTGCTGTTTTGGATTTGGTAGGGGCAAGATGAAAGGCAACTTTCTTGCTTTTGAAATCACGTTGGATAAGAGGTAAGGAATCCAGCTACAATTTTATTAGTGCTTGAAACGGGCTTCCTTGAATTCTCCAGGCCCTATCATTTTTTTTTTTTTTCTTACTAATCAGAAGAGAGCTGGGGTAGAAGCCCCATCTTTGTATTCCATGAAACACGTTGGGTTGGAGTAAAGGCAAAAACAGCTAGACATACCAGGTGTGTCTGTTTGTATTGATATTTATAAGTTGGCACTCATCAACACTCCTGTTTCTCCTGTGCTCCCTTCTCTGGGAAGAAGTGTGGGTTAAGGGGTGTGAGTTGTGGGAAGAATTGTCCTCGTACCTCCTGGATTTATTATGTTTCTCAAATACCAACCAGTAAGATCCCAAATAACTTGAGAAAAATTGTTTCCTGATCTGTCCACTTCTGGTGTCAAAGATTTTACTCATCTTCTTAGTACATTCTATGTATTTTATATGTATAATTTTATACAATTAAAAATAGATTTTTGTCTAGTGAGCCAGACTGACTCTTTCTTGAGACCTATATATTAGAGAAGCTCTAAAACGTCCCTGTTCTTTTACATGTATACTAAATAAGAATTTTTAGGCCGGGTGCAGTGGCTCACACCTGTAATCTCAGCACTTTGGGAGGCCAAGGTGGGTGGATCACGGGGTCAGGAGTTCGAGACCAGCCTGGCCAACATGGTGAAACCCCCATCTCTACTAAAAAAAATAAAAAATTAACTGGGCGTGGTGGTGGGCGCCTGTAATCCCAGCTACTTGGGAGGCTGAAGCAGGAGAATCGCTTGAACCTGGGAGGCGGAGGTTGCAGTAGACCGAGATTGAGTGATTGCACTTCAGCCTGGGACATCAGGGCGAGACTCTGTCTCAAAAAAAAAAGAATTTTTATTAGCATTTTTGGGGTGGTAGAAATGATTGCACAAGGCAGCCTGCCTCCCTTTCTGCAGACATTTAACCTGGACTTTGTCCTTGGCCCTTTCTCCCCAACTCTACCTACTCCCACTGGCAATCTCACCCATTATGGTGGCTTGAACTCCACTATACACATGACTCTCAAATCTATTTCTTCCTCCCCAACCTGTTTTAAGCTTTTACATTTACTTTCCACATACTGGACATGACCACCTGAATATGACAAAAGCCCTTTGAAACATATCCAAAATAAAATACATTTCTCCCTACTGATTCCTCTTTGACTCTCTAGATCTATTATTCAAATTATTATTATTATTATTGAGACAAAGTCTCGCTCTTGTCCCCCAGGCTGGAGTGCAATAGCGTGACCTCAGCTCACTGCAACCTCTGCCTCCTGGGTTCAAGCGATTCTCCTGCCTCAGCCTCCCGAGTAGCTGGGATTACAGGCGCCCACCACTACGCCCGGCTAATTTTTGTATTTTTATTAGAGACCAGGTTTCACCATGTTGGCCAGGCTGGTCTCGAGCTCCTGACCTCAGGTGATCCGACTGCCTCGGCCTCCCAAAGTGCTGGGATTACAGGTGTGGGCCACCACGCCCGGCTGATCTATTATTAGAATTATTATCTATGCTGTTACCTAAGCCACACACCTCAGATCTGCCCTCAACTCTTCTGTACCATAATCTAATCAGTCACTACTGTTGAGTCTACCTCCTAATAAGTTGTTTTTTTTGAGACGGAGTTTTGCTCTTGTCGCCCAGTACAATGGTACAGTATCAGCTCACTGCATCCTCTGCCTCTCGAGTTCAAGAGATTCTCCTGCCTGAGCCTCCCAAGTAGCTGGGATTACAGGCACCCACTACCACACCTGGCGAATTTTTAAATTTTTAGTAGAGATGGGGTTTCACCATGTTGGCCAGGCTGGTCTCAAACACCTGACCTCAGGTGATCCGCCCACCTCGGCCTCCCAAAGTGCTGGGATTACAGGTGTGAGCCACTGTGCCTGGCCTACCTCCTAATATGTTTTGTCCATATTTACTGCCTTAGTTTAGGTTTGGTCCTTTCTCATCTCCAGACTGAATCACTATAATAGCTTCCTAGCTGGTCTTCACCTCCATTCTTAACATCCTCCACACTACTGTCATATTTCTTTATAAAATACTTACGACTGTGATACTCCCTTACTTAAGCCATCACTGAACTATCTTTACCTTTAGCAGCATTTCCCAGAGTTTAAAAAAAATTTTTTTTTGAGACAGAGTCTCACTCTAATGAGCAGGCCAGAATGCAGTGGTGTGATTTTGGCTCACTGCAACCCCACCTCCCAGGCTCAAGGAATCCTCCCACCTCAACCTCCAGAGTAGCTAGGACTATAGGCACACACCACCACACCCAAGTAATTCTTTTTAAATTTTTTGTAGAGATGGGTCTTGCTATGTTGCCCAGGCTGGTCTTGAACTCCTGAACTCAAACTATCCACCCACCTCGGCCTCCCAAAGTGCTGGGATTACAGGCGTGAGCTACCATGCCTGGCCTACCATTTCCCAGTTTTATATGTGTTCCTGAGATGATTTTAGATGATAGATGGGCAAACAGTTTTTAATAGTTGTGCTTTTATCTGAATTTGTAGTAGAAAAATATTGATTTTCCTTTCAGTATACATTTATGTTTAAAGTCAGTCTAAGGAAAAATAAGCAAAAACTAGTATGGGGACTATCTGCAAATATTAAAAACCATGAATACTCAAATATTTGAAGTAGGTAAATTTCTTGCTTATAGCATCAATTCCAAAATCCTTAGCACAGCAGACCCTAAACTGTATTTCCAGCTTTATTTTCCAGTCACATAGCATCAGGCAGACAGAATATCCTGCCATTCTAATATTCATTCATTCAATAAGTATCTATCAGATGTCTACCATGAGCCAGACATTGGGCTGAACTTTAGAGATTTTAGTTGTAAATAACTATCTCTGCCATAAGGATTACATTCTAATGGGAAAAACAGACAATAAACAAGTTAGAAAGTAAACAAGGTAATGAAAGATTCTGACTGGCCTAAGTAACATGGCAAGACTCTGTCTCTACAAAAGATTTTTTAAAAATTAGCCGCATGTAGTGGCGTGTGCCTGTAGTCCCAGATGCTCAGGAGGCTGAGGCAGGAGAATCACTTGGGCCTGGGAGATTGGCCGCTGTGAGCCATAATTGCACCACTGCACTCAGCCTGGTTGACAGAGTGAGACCCTGTCTCAAAAAAAAAATAAATAAATAAAGAAGATTCTGATTTAAGTTCTGTGAAGGAAATACACAGTGAAAGATAGGAGGGTACAGAA